AGAGTGTTGTCGAATCTTCTCGAGGGAATGAACGGACTTTGGGACAGGGCGGCTAGTTGCAAAATGGGATTGGAACTTGCTTGCTAAATCGTCACAGGACGCAATGCTGCCAGTTGGTAAGGTGGTGTACTATGTCAGCGCCCTCGCTCCCAAAAGCGTTGGGAAAGTCCTGCACATGAGTAGGTCCGTTTCTCCATAGAGTGTCATTGCTGCTTCGAATTTTTGGACCCATTCGAAATGATCTGTGTCTCCAACATACGTGGCGATGTTAGTAGGACCCTTGAATCCGAGAGGTATGGGGGTTAGCCTCAAGCTGTTGGTCAAAGGTTTGTTACGCCCTGACGTGTGGGCAAGCGTTATTCTGATATGGCGATTGTGCACCTGTTGGTCTGGTTATGGATGAGGCATTTTCAGGGCTTCGACAGAATATGAGAGGGCTGGGGCTTGGTGAAAGGATGGCTGAGCGCCGTATGGTTGTCTGGTAGGATTCGGGAAAGATGCTTGCGGTTGTGGAATGGCTATGTTATGGGGTTGCATAGCGTAACCTTGGAATGGGAAGCCAGCCTGGTAAGGTTGTTGGAACGGGGCAGCCAAATTATGTGTGTATGGTCTAGGGGGTACTGGGCGACCAAGGGGACTCGATGGTCATTATACACTGCTACGGGCTGGCTCTGGGCCGGTAGTGGACGATGGGCGAGGTGAAACGCTTGTGGGACAGCTGTGGGGAATGACATTCCGAAATGAACTCTAGGGGGTAGGGGTTGGTCTGGGACCAAATTTTCTCCTTGCATCTCACGTATGGCTACATGATGATTCTGTTGGGCTATCCAATCACCTGCCGTTGGCAACTGTGGACCGACGGACTGTAGCACCTGAGGGAGTGCTTCTTCTACATCTCGTTCAGCTGGGGCTGAATGCATAGATGGCGCGGAGTTTGAGTGCACTGTTTGTACGTGCCCTGGCTTGTTCTGCTCTCCTGGTGGTGACAGCCATGTTCAGTTGCAAAAATGCGTTTGGCGGTTGCTTGGTAGTAAAACGGGGAAAAATCTGTCAGATGGATCTTGGGTAGGAGAATGAGAATAGAAGTTTATAGATTCCCACAGACGGCGCCAATGTACCGTTTGGGTCTATAAGCCCACTATGTTCCCTTTTTGGGATGAGTCACTATATGGTAGACACCCTTAGCTTTGGTACAAACTAGGCTAAGAGGTATTATGCTAAGCAATTAACAAGATATTCAGTAAGAGTTAAGTAAAGATGACAATATGATTCAAGTAAATGGACAGTATAACGATACATCCTCCTCTTCAGCTGTGACCATGGGGGCTATTTATAAGGAAAATGGTGTGGGTTGGTGAGGAGGGGGTCAACCCTCCTTGGGATATCTCCCATGATGGCAGTGTTGGGCATGGTTGGCGCTGCCATTATGGCAGCGCTGTGCCTCCTGCGTCTGGCGATGTCAGCACTGGGCAAAGGGGTAGTTTCCCTTTGTGGTGCCTGTGGCAACTGCCTTTAGTGGTTAACGTCCTAAGATGGGACATTTTGGTGTATCCCTCGGATGTGCTGCAGTCTTGGAGGGCGTGAGGGTCCACGTCAGCCCTTAGGGCTGAAGTGGGATAGGGTTGAGGATTGGGCCTGAGCAGCTGGGCCGCTCCAGTATTTGGGCCATCCGGAACACCTTCTAAATGCAACCTTGAGAGATATGGATCAATAAACTCAATTCTCAAAATTTCTAAGACTCTAAATTGACATTACAAACTTTGTAAACATGAGTCTTCATTTGTCTTCAAGTATCTTCATTTTTTTTGTCTTCTAGTTCCTTTCTTCACTTAAAACCTTTGACTTTGTAGTTGACTTTTCACATTTGAGCAGTCCCTTCACTTTTGCATATTTTCTTAATCTTCTGACTTCATTTGAGACTTTTTGCTCTGTCTTTTATGTTGTGCATCCATGTTAAGATGGTTAGTGCTTTGTAATCATCAAAACTTCAATACATTAGTCTTGGTGACCTATAGTTCAACACAAGATCCATTAGCCAAGCTCACGCTTGGTCCATTGCACATTGGACGTATTGCTCGCAAGTTGCATGTGGTGGGTGTCCTTGTTCGAGTTGTACATGGGGGTGCGTGTATGTTGTATCAAGCATGGTGTTTATGCATGATATGCATCGTGCGACATTGGGCAAGCATGCGCTAGCATTTGCACAATAGAGATATTACCCACAAGTCACATATGTTGGGTGTTCGTGTTCAAGTCATGAATGGGAATATGCGTATTCCAATCGACCATGGGGTTTATGTGCGACTTGCAGCACACACTATAGGGCAAGCACTAGCTTTTTTAAAAGTTTTTCCTGTTTTATATTTGGATGAAAAAAATAAATAAATAAATAAAATAAAAAGAGGTATTTAATTGGATATTAAAATTAATAGGAACTTTTTATATATAAATATTTCTCTAGTCAATGGAGATAAAATTATCTCCGGTGAGCCCAAAACGACGTCGTTTTGGGACGAAAATCAAGGTATTTTTGTAATTCTAATATATTTCAAGGTTATATTAGTCTTTGTCATTATAAATTTTTAATCTTATAACCCAAAACGACATCGTTTTGAGTTCACTGAAGATAACTTTATCTCCGGTGACTAAATAAATACTTTTTCCATAAATTTATTTCAAAATGATATGTGATGTTAGTGTTGGTATTGAGGGAGAGTAGTTGGAGTGAGGTGAGGTCAAAATTTTAAAAAAATATTTAACCATTGAAACAAGGATTTTTTCCAAAAATAAAATGATGTTGTTGGGAGTTCTCCATTATATAGGTCTAAAAAATTATCGGAAATAAAACTATCATAAATGAGCAATAAACTCTATTAAACCATTTTAAGGAAGTTAGGGAAAAAATTTGTTATGTTTCTCGTAGTGACTGAATTTGAAATGGATTCTTCCACCATGTTTCATTAATGTCATAAATTATAAACTAATTTAATATGATAACATGGACGATAAGAAGAGCTTTATTTTTTCTTACCTCTTCACGAAATTATGGTTCTCATATCAATCCGCTTTGATATACAAAATACAAAATGATGACTATTAACTATTATTCTCCATCTTGATCCCCTTGAAAAAATGAGTTATCTTCAAAAAAATATTGTTTACTAAAGTTCTCCATTGCTTAGGTCTCTCCCATTAATGAGATATTAAAATTCTATCTCTGAATATATATTCAGTCTCTAGTTGTGAGTTGGGTTACCCACCATCGGATATTTCACAACATATAACATATAATGTAAATATTTTTTTTTTCCAAATACATTCAATTAAAAAATAAAGCAAAAAGCTCATGTTTTTGTAATTTAACAAAAAACTTCACAAAATAATACTTAAATACAAAATTTTGTCCCTAAATCTGTCCCTATTTCGGATGGAATTTTCCCACTCTAATAGGGACAAATTTAAAAAACGATAAACATTTCATCCCTAATTGTATCTCAAATTGGGAAGAACTATGTTTTGTCCATATTAGAGACAAAACCAGGGACAAATTTCAAAAAATAAAAACATTTCATCCCTAAGTTCGTCCCTATTAAGGAGATAATATTACATGCAAATGCTGTACCGCTTGGAGCCTGAGAATTTTTATTTGACATTTACGTGTGTTTTTCAAGCTTGCAAACACACAATTCTAGTTTTTTTTTTTTTTTTTTTTATATCACACAATTCTAGCTTTTGTAATTGTCAGCATATGTTATGTACAAAGAATCAAAGATTTTGCATGAAAGTGCGTAAAATATGTAACATAAGTGAGGCACAAAAGAATTGCATCGTGAACCATATAATTAATAGCGCTTGACTTCGGACATAATATACAGAATATTCTGTTATATTTTATTTTATATTCTTTTTAGTTTCAGTGAGAGCAACTCTCAAGGAACGTGATCAATATGTCATATTTTTGGCATTTATATACCAAACTCTGTAATAAAATTTATCAGATTGTCATGTGTTGAAATTTGTTATTACTGATAGTGATTTTGGTAGTTAATGATTTCGTGATAAGTGATATATTTTCACAGAAAAAGCTAACTGGATGAAGTTCGGTAGCAAACTTGGTGCGCTATATGGCACAATCTCGTTGCCTAATCAGAATTAATGTGTACCAATCATAATAAAAAAAGAAAACGAATGAAAATAACTATTTAATTAATGTACTAATCACAATTAATATACCAATAACCAATCATAATTAATATACCAATCACCAATCATAATTAATATATCAATCACAATTAGTACATTAATTTTGATCGGGCAACGAAATTGTGCCACATAGCACACCAAGTTCGCTACTCCTAGTGGCAAACTTACTCTAGTCAGCTCCTTTTGCGAAAGTGTGTCACCATGTCACGAAATTATTGACTACCAAACTTGGCACATGTCAGTTAACTTTTCTTGCAAAAATGTGCCACGTGTTACCACATCATTGACTACCAAAATCACTAGTAGTCGTAGCAAACTTCAAGACATGTCAGTCAGTTACTATTCCAACTCTTAAGATAGTGGTAACATTGCTCCTTGGTAATTATTATGAGTCTTTGAGAGATAATCTTTTTGTAAAAACGCAATGTTAATGCCTACACTAAAATATACTACGTACCTTTTTAATTTTAATATTATGCTTTTTTATTTTATTTCAAAATATAACAAACAAAAAATAGAAACCAAATATTATTTTCCATTCTATTATAACATGAAAAAGAAGAATAGAATTGGAGAGTCGTTATTGGCTTTTATAATAGATTCATAGAATTCACCATTTTCATCATGCTTCTCTGGATGATAAATACAATAACTAGTTTTTTGAATAATTGACTTCCAAGCTCAGTAGCAGGTTGAACAATACAGAGTCCAGGGAGTTCAATTTTATTGCACTTAACCCAAAATATACACATCCACAATCCCCAGTACCGTTTCTGACTAAAAAACACACACACACACTACGCATCCTGTCTTGGATCAACTTTTTCAGTTGCTACATTTTTACTAATGGAATTTTTGCTGAAAAGCATCTCCATGTCTTCCAAAGCCCTGCCTTTGGTTTCAGGAAGGAAAATATAGAAGAAAACCCAAGCCAATACAGACAAACCAGCAAACATGAAAAAGGTCCCACCTATAGTGATTGCGTTATAGATTGAAATAAAAGTCATGGAAACAACAGCATTCATGGTCCTGTTCACTGCAACTCCTATACTTGCTCCTTGTGCTCTCAACCTCAAAGGGAATATCTCAGAGCTATAGACCCATGTGACTGGTGCAAGCCCAATATTAAAAAAAGCAACATAGGTGTATGTGGCCACAATGCTAAGACTCAAAGCCCAAAAGAGCTTTTCATTGGAATGATCTACCATAGTTAAGCTGAAACCTAAAACTGTAAGAGCACAAACCATTCCTACAGTGCTTATTTGCAAGAGGCGTCTTCTACCAACTTTGTCAAGCAAGAATGTTGCTATTGTCAAAAAAGTGACCTTTATAAGGCCTATTCCAATCGTTGCAAGCAAGAGCTTGTCCTTACTTGTAACACCAGCTTTCTTAAAGATTCTTGGGCCATATAACATAACAGCTTCAATCCCAGTTGCATGCTCAAAGAAGTGAATCCCAATCGCTGCAATCAGCATCCAACGAACAGAAGGTGTGGGCCTAACAAGCAACTCTTTCCAAACCCCTTCACCATGGTTGGACTTTTTCATCACGATCTCATCATTGCAATTCTCATCAAAACCAGCAGCAACTTTTATTTCCTTGAAACGAAGTTCAGCCTCTTGTGTGGTATTAGAAACTTGATATAGGACCTTCTTGGCTTTTCCTAAATGACCATGCATCACTAGCCACCTTGGAGACTCTGGCAATGTTAGAATAACCAAAGCCACGACAAGTGAAGGAAATGCTGCGATACCAAGCATCAATCTCCATCCAAGTTTCAAGGTCAATTTCCTCAAGAAGTAGTTTGACACATAGCCAAGTAAAATCCCAAAACCAATACAAAGCTCTGGTAAGGATGTTAGAAAACCCCTTGATGATGCAGAGGAAATCTCTGCAGAGTAAACTGGTCCTATCATAAGGGCAAATCCTACACCAACACCACAAACACACCTTCCAATCATTAAAATTGCATAGTTTGGACCATAACCCATGAGAACTGCACCTAGCATGAAGAGGATAGAGGCCAAGAAGATTGTGTAACGGCGACCAATGTAATCAGATGTTCTTCCAGCAGTTAAGGATCCCACCAATGCGCATAGGTTTAAGATTCCTGCTAGAACCTCTTGTTGGGTATCGCTGATTCCGATATCTTCCTTTATGAATAGCATGGCACCACTCATAACACCAGTATCTGAAATATTTACAAGGTGTGCATTAATCTAAAATACAAGTTATTAGAAACAGACAGAAAGAATAATATAAGCTTCTCATTGAAGGAACATATTTTGACTTGCAAAATGTATGCACCACCGGGTCTTGGGGAGATTAAAAAAATGGTGAAAATTTGAAAATACATTAGAAATATAATGGGCACCGGGTGCATAAGCCTCTCTGACATATGAAGGTAAGGCTGAAAATTAATTGTACGCAGCTTTACCTTCATTTTTTGCAAAGAAACTATTTTCAGACTCGAACTCGTGACCATTCAGTCAGAAAGAATAACTTTGTCATTGCTCCAAAACTTACCCTCAAACACTGAGATATAAAAAATGTGCAAAAATAGAGAAAAGAGTGAAAGAGAATTTAATATTACCATAACCAGATATGATGGATACCACTGAAGCGACCATGGCACAAGCAAAGGCATATTTGTTGAACTTTGTGGTTTGGTCTTCTTTGTCACCATGCTCCATTATATAATGATGATATATTAAAGGCTTTTTCTTCCCTTGTGTTTTGATTCAAATATGGGTTAATTTGAGGCTAGCTAGCTCCACCAATTTCCCTAGTTCAATTCTTGTTTATATAGGTGTTGAGGTCTTACTTTATGGTCGCTGCTATACTAAATAAAAAAATACAAAAAAAGGAGAGGAGAGAGGATAAGATTGAGTTAGGCTTGATTTGTTGTAACGAAGCGGAATATGGTTGGCTAATGAATGGAAACCACTGAGGAAGGTCGAGGTGGATATACTTAATGTTGTTATTAGACCTTCTTACAATTGATGTAATTTATGTCGGGGTGATCGCGGTTTGGATTGGATCGGTTTTGGAAGCAAAAATCATCCGATCCAATCCCTTCGGTTTGACCATGTAATCATCCATTCGGTTTGAACTTTTTTTCAAATCCGATTCGATTCAATTTTTTTCGGTTTGAATTGGATCGGTTTTCGGTTTTTTAAAAATCCTAAAATTTGTTTCATGCAAATAATATCTTTTATATATATATATATATTGGCTTTGTAAAAAAAATTGAAATACAAAAGTATCAATAAACAATAATATAGTTTTGTTTTTGGGGACAATGAGATGTGAAGCTCTACGTAGATGAAATTTTGTTGTTAAGATGTGACTAGGTTTTTTCTTGGGTTTAGTTGATGGGTTAATGAGTCTTAGAAATTTTTGGATTATGATTGGAGAAAAACTAAAATAAGTAGGGGAGAATTAATATATTGGATCGGTTTGGATTGGATCGGTTTTCATTAAGCAATCCGAAAACCGATCCAATCCAATTAAAAGTTGCGATTTTTTTTTGGTTTTCAATTTTTCAATTTTCGGTTTGTTCGGTTATCAGTTTTTCGGTTCAGTCACCGCGGTTTGAATCGATTTGGATTGGTTAATAAACACCCTTATATGTCGGTATGTCATCACTTTCTGTCGTAACAAGATTTCAGGTATTAATAAGGATAAAAGGATTGAGCACAATAACTTACCTGATTCTTCGTCTAATCCTTAGGCTAGATATGGTGCTGACTTGGAGCGACCTGTCTTTGAACTTCAAAACAGATCTGAAAATAGCATTATAGGCATTGTGATAACTCTTGACGTTGCCCTAGTTAAAGATTAAAACTAATTTCGGAGAAATTCAAGGGGAATAAAGTTGGAAAAATAAAAACAGAAGATTGGGTTGGCAGAATGTAATTTCTCAACCCAGATGCGATTAAATTACGAGAAATTAAAAAAATAATTAAACGGAGACAATTAAATAAATAAATAAAATTTAAAATCTTTGCTCTATTCAATGTGTATCACTTTATTTATAAATGTGTATAAATATTATTTATATTTATACATGTTGTGTTGGGGTGTGTTTCTTATTTAACATTTTGGTGGTTGGCTATGCAAGACACGTATTGTTTCATGACTCATGTCTTAACCAGTCTAATATATGCAATAACCATATTAATTGAAGAAGATTTTAGAAGAAGCCAAAGAGTATATAACATTTCATATTTCTAAAACATATTATTATATATGAAAATATGGATTAAAGGGTAAGATTAGAAAAAATCCTGAATTTAGAACCAAAATACGTAAAAAGGATAAAATGATAATTTGCCAAACACGTAACCCTAAGAAAGAAAAATTGAGTAGAATGTCTCAAATGGAAAAACTAACACTGGAAATGGATTCAGAACGAAAAATTGAGTGGTTATGCAAGTTTCTGAAAATTTGTTGAATAGTATTTTTACCAGGTAAAAATATCGCGGTACAGTTGCACCGTAAAGCGTGCTGAATGAATTTTGAGCTCTAGGCTTGGAAATAAGTTATAAATGGTACATAGGACTAGGGAATATGATTTCTGGTGAAAATTGATGGAAATTAGGGATTTTGGGAAGCATGCCCACAATGCGCATAACAACTTAAAACTGTGATTTCTCCGAACGACCGAAAAAATCCGGATTCATCTGATCAAGGACAATTAAAGGACAATGGTTAATGTTAAAAATTAGAGTTTCTAAATAGTTTAGGAGTTTATGGATGTTTAGTGGATTAAGTGAGAGATTTGAATTAATTTTAATCGCGTGAGGTGGCGGTGGGACCCACCCCACTTAAGTATAACATGACACCTATGATCAGAACACTATTCATGTTCTTCCCCACCTATTTCTCTCTCCAAAAACTGAGCCCCCTCATTATTGTGCAAGTTTGTGTTCAAATCTTCATTTGCTCCAAACACACTCAAATCTCCACCAAAATACAACTTCCAATACATCAAACTTTAAGTAAATGGCATTCTAAACACAACCATGGTAGTTTTAAGGCTTGAAACCCACTAAATTGAGAGAAATTCCACACCAAAGTTTGCGGCCAAGTGAGAGTTTTTGAAGTTCTTGGAGTTGATTGATCCTCCAATGCTTTGGTATGGTGTGGAGGAGTCCCAGGCCTTGCTTGTGAGTAAGTTTCAACACATTTCATTGGTTGATTCATTAGATTTAATTTTGAAAACCTAAATCTATTGTGCATGGATTGATGTAGTTAGAGAGCTCAAATTGAAAATGTGTATTAGATAAAAGTGGCTTAGAATGATGTTTTATGGTGATTGAGCTCATAAAATTTATTGGTGAAAAAGTTGATAACTTCAGAAAAATTTGAGTTGGAATTTCAATACTTTGTGAATTGGTATGATTGTAGGATTGTATAATTGAGTTATGGAGTATTTGTATGAGTTAATTATAGGATTGTATGGTGTGTGGAAGTGTTAAAAGGGATCAAATATCCTTTGGTGCACATGCATGTTGAATTCGGCCAATGAGGAGAAATAAGGATAGATAAAGTAAAAATCATGTAATTGGTGTAATGTGGTTGAATTGGAAGGAAAATTATTGGAGGTGTGTGAGTGTGTGTATTCAGCCATAATAGGGTAATTTAAGGAAAATGGTATTGTGAAGGTATTAAATTGAATTAAGGGCTTGAATTGGTGTTATGGTGAGCTTAAGAAACCATTGGGACCTTGTAATAAAATTTAGAACATGACTTAGCATTTAAGGCCATTTGGCCGAACCTATGCTTGTGTGGGAGGGATTATGGTGCTTTGTAATTTTGGTTGGTTGCACTTTGTGTTAATGATCCTTGTGTGATCATTGTAGGTTGCCTCCCACGAACGTAAACTTGGAGTATTGAGCTTGGTGGATTGCCTTTGGTCCTTGACCATAAGGATTGTGGTAAGTGGTTATGAAATATGCATGAATACTTGAATAAGCATGTATATGTTTTTTTTGATTGTAATTGTAATTGGAATGGGAATGACCTATGCGTAGGCATTTCTTGTTGGACCAAGCTCAGTGGTGTATTGAATTGGAGCCACCAAGAGAAGGAATTTTCATCAGGTAATCCCTTGGTACTGGGGTTTAGTCCCCGTGTGTGCTCCACCATGCCTCTTGGGGGTAGTGGTTGAAGGTGGATGTTAATAATGTAGTATAACATGCTCATGCATTTATGTGTGTATAGTGTTACATAGGATGTAACGTGTCTCTGGCCAGTAGACTGTTGCCTTCGGGAGTTACGGACTTCCACTGGATAGGTCTCCGAGAGGGAGTTCCAGTTAACCTGGGGTCATGGGGTGTCATCCGTTGATGAGCACTCTAGGAACGTCTCGGGTGTATATGGATGGAGGGTGCCTTGGTTGATGTTCTGAGAATACTTCCTTGGATGAGAACCCGTAGGCTATATGCCGAGGCCAATAGGCCGGGTGTTGCGTGACTTTGGCATCGACCATTCTAGCTTCATCGTATTTTTACTCCTTATACATCCCTACTTCAATAAATCCCTTGCTTTATCCCTTTTTGGTTGTTGTGGTATATTATTGATTTACATCTGAGTGAGCCATTGGGCGGAGTAATCTCCAGAACCTCTGGGTTACTGAGATATATTCGTATATCTCACCCCATTTTTGGGACTTTATTTCAGGTAGTAGCAGTGGGGCAGGAGCTGTGGGCAAGAGGCCCGTAGGATGAGCGTGTGGATACAAATTTTGTTTTGCATTTTGAGTCCATGTTGGCATAGGCTAGACTTAGGGCATGAACATTGTATATGGAGTTAGGTTTATGCATATTATCATATTTGTTCATGCCATCTTTTTGCCTAAGTCTAGTTGTAAATTGATTATGTCACGTTTTGAAGTTAAATTCCTTATGTTGTAATTGGAAATTTAATTTGTACTATGTTTCATTGGAGAAGTGTAAATTGTAATATTTGGACCTTGTGTAATATTGAAGGATGATGTATGACGAAATGGCAATAGACCTATTTTAGTTGATGATTATGTGTATGATTAAAGAATGCATGAAATTGGACTAAGGTGATTGAAATGTATTTAAGATTGATAATGCAATTAATGAGATATAAACTAAGTAAATTGATATAAATTGTGATGGGTTGTAAGAGCCCCAAGACATTGTTGGTCCTTGCGTTAGTACATAGGTGTCCTAGAGACAATCTGAGAGTCAGATGGACCTATGTACTTCTTTATTAGTTATGAATAAATTTTATGAATAAAAGCATTCTTTATCTTGTTTCATATTGCATGTCTCAAATATTGAATATGAGTAACTGGATAAAGCCCTTGGAATGGAACGGGTGTCACATTGAGGATATGTGATAGGGATCACGATCATGAGGGCTCAATGACACCACACATCTATTGCCAGAAATATGTTCCTAGTCTAGAGATACCGATAATGGGCATTGGTGATCTCGGGTAAGACTAGCATGACTCAGCTACTTGCATGAAGATGCAAGGTAGAGTCCTCGTGAGCTACAGACATGGAGATATCTTAGCTGACTCGTGGGTGGACCTATTGGAGAATAGCTCGGACTGAACTGACCAACAAAGAGACACTACAAGGAAATCTCACAGATAGTATCAATAAGTAATGTCTCTTATTATTTGGGTGTGTTTTTCCTTAGACTTGAC